GAAAGTGAGGACGTCGTGCACTCTTGGTTAGAACTACAGGTGGAATCCTGATAATTCGAACCTCCAAATGCCAGGAAAAAACTTCTAATTATCCGGACATTCTAATTATCTAAACATGACCCCACAACACAATATGTATGTCAAAAGGCTCCCATGGTCACGCAGAGTTGCGCTATGGACCTTAGACACAGATTTCACGGATACTGAACTGACCGGCACAGCCTGCTCATGCAAACTGAACTGACTAGTACAGTGTACAGTGAACTTCGAATTACACTTTGCTAACTTCGAATTATCAGCACAAATTCCACACATTTACTATGTAAGTGGAATCCGTGGAACTTCGAATTTATCGGACATGTCCGGTTCGAGGTTCGAATTATCAGAACTTTTCATGTGGGAATCGTATTGACAGAAATCGGTCCTGGAAAAACTTCTAATTAAGCGGTATGTTCGAATTAAGCCGAATTCGAATTATCAGGATTCCACCTGTATATTGAAATCGCATGCGTGTATGTGTGTGCATGTGTGTGTGTGTGTGTGTGTGTGTGTGTTAGTGTGTGCATGTACGTGTGTGTATGATAGCGTTTGCATTATTTCTCTCTCAAGCCAGCCCAGACTCTTGACAACGATTGACTTTTGGGTCCACGTGGATCCAGTTTTTATATAAATCCACGTACCTTTGGCAGTTTGAATGTTTGTTTGTTTGTTTGTATTTATTTTGATTCGCAAATTCCAACGGGCATAGAACCCAATAATATGAAAGCGAATATGACAATTATAATGAGAGTGAGAAATAGAATATATGCGGTATTGTCATTGGTTATCTCAATTAAAATATATGTTTGGTGGTTTTCTCTCACGGGAGGGTGATACATGTACTGGGAATAGCTGGACTAGCCCCTCCTGCTCACTTATACACTCTTTCTACATGAACGTGTTATACATGCATACTCCAGGAGGGGCATACTCCCCCTCCCTCCCCCCCCCCCCCCCCACACACACATACAGACATACACACATGCTGTACCTTGATATAGGCAGAGTGCAGTAGTGCAGAGCGGATCCAAAAGCCCTCGTCTTTCGTCATTTTTGTTGACTTGAGATGTCATCGCTTTCTAGCCTTGTCGGAGCAACTTGTGAATGGATTCACCTTCTCAACCAAACTGTGCAATTCAGTTTATCTTCACTCAGAAAGTGATGAACATCACACAACTGCACTGTAATTAGAAGCAGGTTTGTCAACTGGCAACCACTCTATTCAGTTGCTATTCACTCTTGGCGCATGCGCTGGATGAAAACTTCGTTTATTGGCGATGTCGAAAAAATTATGATGTTTCGGGCCAGTCACCCATCGTCAGGACAATCTACAAGGCCTGGCCTTTTATACAACAACTGTTGACTTGTACGTGCTTTTAATCCATTCCCAGGGAGTCCTAAACAGCGAGCTACTGAAGCGTTCACTCAGAAAGTGGTGGACATCACGCAACTGCATTGTAAATAAAAGGGGGTTTGTCAACTGTCAACCGCTCTATTCAGTTGATATTCACTCAGTTTATCTTGCTGTTCATTTCTTTTCCTGTGCAGCCCTGCCAAAGTATTGCCCCGGCTTGAGTATAGCCAACTCTATCCTGTCCTCCACGGCACGTCATGTCTATGCACAAATCACAGTGTCATGTAACCCTGGTTACGAAGTCAACGGTGGACCCATTCTCACATGCGTGGGTGGGAATTTCACAGCAGGCAGGTGGAACACCATGGCTCTGTGTGAACGTAAGCTGTGCAGATTCAGGCGGATGGGCCTAATATCAACATTAATGTTTGCATGCAGTACAGCCAGGAGCCCGAGACCAGCGGTCGGAGGAGCCTACTAGCGTATTTTCCCGAACACAAGTCGCACCTCTTTACACTAAACTTCAAGGGTAAAGAAGGGGATGCGACTTACAATCGAGTGTGGCATCCTACTTATATGCATGTATTGAGAAAATGTGGTTCAAACGTCAATGTGGGGGTGCGACTTATAATCGAGTGTGCCTTACAACCGGGGAAATACGGTACGCCTCACCTGCACTGCTAGTAGCTTAGCAGCCACCTACAGATAGCCGTTCGTCATCCTCCTTTCTTCTATTTCTTACGTGTAGTCTTTTTTTCCTTTCTCTGCCGGATCGTAGGGATTGTGTCATTCGGCGTACGAATACAGATACATGGTTTGTACATGTATCAGCCACTCGAGTATCCGTACACATGAAATGGCCGAGGAATGCCATGGAAACCAAGCTGGTTAACTGCTGGTGGGGGGGGGGGGGATATATCACTCAGCACTATGGCCCGGGTTCAGTGGAAATGAGCTGGAGAGCGGTCATGAAAAGCTCGCGAAAAATGCCCAAAGGGACGTCCTTGAATTTGCGGTCGCGATTATGCCCTTGCTTTCCACCGCTCTCGCAACAAACATTTCAAGGACAGCATTTTGATATTTTGTTGAACTTTTCCGAGAAGCATTAAAGGCGGGTTTTTGCGCTAAGTCGAGTCTAAGCCGAGTCTCACGAGAAGCGTGAATTTCTTCGCTTAATTAAGGCGGCCCATAGTGTGCACAGAGAACGTGAGTAGTCCACCTTCGTTTTAACCCACTGTGGACGCTTAGCCAACCAAACCATTTTTCTTGCGACTCTCACCAGCTCCCTCACCGAAGGACCAGAAAGAATGTCAACAGTTTTTAGACTATCATAGATCTTGCGCTAAGAGTTCTGGTGCTCAATTATCCCGCTGTTCTGAACTGGCGAGCTGAATCAAGCCCACTAAATAGCGTGGGGCTGAAAGGCAAGCATTATCCAGCTGAGGCTAGAGAATCAACATTCTTTATATACGGTACTCAGATGGTGATCCAAGGAACACAAGTTTGTCACATGGAAATTGTGGGCACAAGTTTAATATGCAATCCAGTCCACCAACTAAACCAGATTTTGAACAGTCAGATATGCACAATCTAGCACAACACTGACAAGGAGCACCAGTACAGAGACAGTCATGAAAGTCAGCTTGAGCACTGCTCCATAGCGCTAACCAACGGCCTTCCAACTTGGAAGGTTCATGGATATTAGTGCTAATTCCAAAGAGGGGAAGGCTTGCGCCATCGAGCCGAGCACAAGCTACATTCCAAGTTTTGTCGGTTTTTGTCCAAGTCAGTGTTGTGCTAGATTTTGCACGTCTTGTTCAACATCTGGTTTAGCTGGTGGACTCTATCCCATAACTTAAAAGCCCACAATTTCCATGTTACAAAATTCTTTATATTGTGTTTTTCTCCCCACTGATCTTACTGCTGCCTTCATCACCTTTGCATTGCATACTGGTGTTCGTACTGGATAGTTTCATTTTTTCTGCCTGTATTCACCTGACAAGAAGGCGTCAAATGTACTTGTGGGAAAATGTCGAAATGTTGCTTGTCAGAAGCCTGAAGTTAGTATGCAGTGCTGTTCGGCGCCGAAGAACGGAGTGTAGAAGAACAAACGGCCTACAATTTTACCGAGCACAGCATACCAATGTATACACGGTGACTCAACTGTGCATGCACTGTAATACATGGAATAAGAACGGTCTAGGCTAGGAGGCTGCCCCCCCCCCCCCCGCCAGTTCTTCAGCGACCGACAATATTGTAGGCTAAGTACATTTTTACTAGATTTTTCAGAGAAGACAAGGCTCTGGTGAGTGGAAGGCAGAATGAGGCTCCACTTGAACACCAATTCATATTGCCAGTACAGTTTTTCAGACCATCTTCAGCTGTAGCTTTACATAGTTTCTCAGTTACAGAACAGAACAACAAGGACGATCAAGGCTTGTTTGCTGCTACTTCGAGTTTCATGCTCACGCAATCATCAGGCAACATGAAGATTGGGTGCTGACTATGCCGGCATATATGCCAGGAGAGGGTGGTATAAAAAGTATTGTGAGAATGTGGGGGCTAGCGGTGTTATTTTAGGCAGGAGGCTGTGTGTGCAGAGTGTGTGGTTCTTGAAGGCAGGGGCTAGCAGTGCAATGTTAGCGCAGAATGTGTGGCTGGTACATCCTCCGGTGGTTTCTCATTTACTATTTTCTCGTGCTTCGCTTGCTGCAATTTCCCTCAACAGTGAAAAGCAACTACTGTCGCGAACAGCTTCCTTCTAACGGAAAACTCGTCTATACCGGTTCGCGTAAGGCTGGCGATACCGCTAGCCTTACGTGCAGTGAAGGCTACCTGCCACAGAACGGTGTAACCTTCAACTGCCAATTTGCTGATCTCACGTTCGGTGCCTGGAGCGCCACTCCAAAGTGTTCAGGTGAGTTGCATAATCCTCTCCATTCTATCTCCCTTCCGTGCCTGTTTTTTGTCCCCTGCCCACTGTCTTTCTGCCCTCTCCTCTTCTAAGTCGTCTCCTTATGAGAAGGCACCATTGCCTGTTTGGTTGAACGACGATAAATAAATGCACAACAAAGAAACAAACAGTTGTAGTGTGTGGTTGTCTTATACCACTGTGCACAGTCCTACCCTGACCATTCTTGAAATCTGTAACATGGAAATTGCGGACACAAGTTATGCGATCCAGGCCACCAACTAAATCAGACTTTGAACAGTCAGACGTGCACAATCTAGCACACAACTGACATCAAAACTGACAACTGGTTTAATTGGTGGACTCGATCGCACAACTTGTGCTCACAATTTCCATGTTACAATTTTTTCCCTTGGCTCACCATCTGAGTTCTGAATTCATGAAATCATTAACAGCTTCAAGAATGGATACATTGATCTCTCTATAATCTGGCGCCATTCGTGCCGGATAACGAAGGGTGCTGGATAAACAAATCTGATTTACTGCTGCAATGTGCATGAAGAGGACATTTTGGTTACTGAAAATTGTGCTGGTTTTGGGGGGGGGGGGTAAATGAAAAGTAAATTATCTTGTTCGTTTCCGAAGGGAACTCACAACGGCCGCTAACACCCGGTAAACCCTAGCCGCAGATGCAGTGCCTAATGGTGGGGTGAGTGGATAAGTCTCACAACCACTGGCACAAGTGCCGAGAAACCCCATTAGCTGCGTCCATGTACCCCTTGTGCCTGGCCACAAGTTCTCAGTTGACCGTGGGTAGAGTGTGTTGGTCTATAAAGTGCTGGGTTACATAGGGACCACTGTGCCATCCATGTAATTTCACAGGAAGCGCGAGTTTCCAAATCTGAAGAAAATTTCGAACAGTCTCAGCTGGGATGACAGCTACAGCATAGCTCAGTGGTTAGAGCATCGCTGGCCTCGAGCGAAGGTCCTGGTTCTAGTCATGGTTGGTGACAGTCAATTTTTTCTGCAGACTTTTCCCTTTTCCATTCCCTCAACCAGTGCATATACCAGTTTCTAAGGGAAAAAAATTCCCAACTGCTTAGAATGTTACTGGAGTTTGAAAGTTTGTGATGGATAAAATGACCCGCGCTCTGCGAAAACCGACCTTAGGTGCTTCGTAATTTTTTCGAGAAAAAGAAAAAAACGTCACGGTCTGTCGATTTTTGAAGATCACAAGGTAAGAGTCATGGCGGAACGAAGCAGAAGACAGTAGCTAGAGCTCAAATAATTGCTGTGGGCTTCTTCCAGAGGTTTCATCCAAACTCCTTTACGATGAATAGTCATTTTTTGGCCTGGTCCAATCGCAGTTCTGATGACAGCAGTGCCAAGGAGAGTTGGATGTGGAATCGCAGGACGCAACGCTGATCGAGCTGGACGGCCATGCGGAGGAGAATTTCGATCAGGCGTCAGTTTTGCCACCAGCCCAGCCCCTCAATGCCGGCAATAAGCAGAGTGCAGACCAAGAAAAATCGGTTCAACTACTGTCTACAATCCAGGAGGCGCGCGACAAGTTTGACAAGGGCTGTAGTTGTTCCGCAATGGTGCTGTTTCAAGAGTGTGACACTTGAAACCTTGCTTTACATTTACAGCGCACACAGTGCACGTCCTGACCAAGTCAGAGCGCTGCTTGTGTGTAGGCGGAAAGCTAGACGTGCTCAGGATCCGTGGTGAGGCTACCCAGCGCGTCCAGCATGCTGGGAGATGTGATAAGATGGGGCTCAACAATACTACTCTGAACTCCTGGCCTGAAGACTACAGTCAGTGGCTGGTGTGGAAGTCATGTACATGCATGTCAGGAAGTCTTTGTGTATGCCTCCAGCCCAGGATCAAGCCCTGGGTGCTGAAATCTGTGCAGGCTGCTGTCACAGTGTCAGTGCAAGTGAAATCAGCTCAACACAGGAATTGAATGAACTCTGGAATGCGCTGCCTGTGGAAGATGTTGTGGAGCTGAAGCATTTTATTGAGCATTATGCCATAGCTCATGGCCTCCCTTAACCTGCAGATCCTAACATGGGCACAACAAGCCAGTACCAACCTACATGTATTTGCCCAGTATCACTACGAAGAAGCTTGTTCACCAGGCGTTCACAAATCCTGGTGGCAAAGCTGCATACAGTACGTTTGGCGGGCAAGATTTGGAAAAGAGACTGCCATGATATCACCGATTATGAAACAATGTGTGCGGCAGATGTAGACATAAGTAGATGTTCTACTACCAGTACCAGATAAAACTATCAATATCCTTTAACCCGGCATTGATCCGAGCTTCTTCACTACTTTGCACCTGCCTCTACCCATCACTCTGGCTGGCATATCCTCATACAGAGCCAAATACCTCTTCCAGCAGATTCGTGAGCAACACCATCCACGGAAGAGAGAAAGAATGTGTCTATCTCCACAACAGGAAGATCCAATGCCATCATAAACCTTTCATTTTGAAGATTATGACATACAGATTTATTCTGCAAAGTTTGGCTGCAATCGTGCTGCTTGAATTCTCACAGCATTGGCTCCAAAATGTAGCATGAAATCCAGGAATTTTGCTACTTTTCCTCAAAATATTTTAGGAATAGTGCAAAGAAATTGTCATTGTATCTAACTGAATATGTATGCAATCCATCTCAAACTTCACCAGAAGTTGAAGAAAGGGTCATGGGTCAACAATCCAGCACAAACTCAATTTCGCCAAAATAGCACCTAAGGTCGGTTTTCGCAGAGCACTGGTCAAATGACTTTTGGCATAATATGCAGCCACCGTTTTTCTTCGCCGAGTCTATTCCACGCACTCACCTAGGGTACCTTGTAAAAAGACTTTCTGTCTGTGGGGATTGCCAAAGTGAAATAAAAAAATACTACTACCACTACTAATGCTGTCTACAGTGCCTTCTGGCTATTAATCACTTAATGTGGGGCTTTGAATAAAACAGGACTCGACTTTCTACAGCAGAAAGATCAGCCATAACCTCCTGATGATTACTTCACATAGCATGAAACTCGAGCAGAGACTGAATGCTACAATTCACTAGACCTTTGAGACCAACCATCGTTCCGTTTGACAAATTTGAACCTCATACTGAGCGTGTAAATCTCATTATAGGTCCCACAAACCCCTCTATATTGTCAAAAATTGTGATCACTCTCTGAGTATCGACTGCCACTGATTATCGCTATACCCAAGCAGTCAAAAATTCCTGCATATTTCTTTCCTTAGGGCTATAGTGACTGCCTATATTTATTATTATTATTATTATTATTATTATTACGCACACACTCATGGCCAAGGTCAATCAAGGAGGAGGTGAGGACGATTATAGCCAGCCATGGCAAAAAAAGAAGAAAGAAAAACAAGTGCAAATCAGAACAACAACAATAAAGAAGATATTGGGATGCAAATCAAGTTGTATTATTAGGTTTACGGGAAATGGTCTGAGAGATCACGAACAAAGGCAGAAATGTTTTCACATGATTTCAGCTTGACTGCATATGGGTTGGGCAGCTGAAAGGTGCCTTCAATGCATGGTCACCACTGTACTTTGCCGGGTTGTGCAACAATGGCACAATGCGAGCAGCATGCAGTAGCCCATACATGGTCACTGGTATGAGTAGGTGATGGTGCAACGGTTGTGCGATCATAAAATCGGGAATCATGAGGTTGTCGTTCTGGAATTTGAAATACGGACTGTTTGTTGTGATTAATCTAATATTCATTTCGTACTTGGTCGGTATAGGAAAAAAGAACCTCGTAAAAGACCTCGGCTTTGCCTCGGCCTTTTTCTCGGCTCTCATTTCCTATATTGACCTCGTACTCAGTCAATATTAGATACGTAAAATGTGTGATATTTTGCTGATAAGGAACGTCCAGCATTTCTTGTCAATCAGTCCTTCTTTGTTCTGTCATAAGAATTTCCTAGAAAAACTGGGAAATGGGCCTTTGAACGGTGTGTGCAGTTTGCAAGGTACTGGACAGGTCATTGTGCATGAGCAAGCTCTACTCGGCATGTCGGTTGTCAGCATTATAACATAATATAAGGCATTTTGCGATATTGTAATTATACAAATTTTCAGCATCTATTTACATGCAATTTCCGCTATATTCGGCACCGACCCAAAACGCCAAAACTAAAACGCTGATGAAATTCCTCACATTGGCTTTGGTGATTTGAAAATTAACCCCTGTCGTCATGCCGAAAATCATGAAATGGCGAAATTTTGAGGGGCACAAATTTAGTATAATTTACACTACTTCGAAGTATGTGATTAAACAACTAGTAGGATGTTATGAGTATTTGCTGTGCACTTTTAAAATAGAAGAACTCACATGGAATTGAGTTATGAAGCAACTATCCACGACTGTAACAAGATAATAAGCAGTCAAAAAGTGCGATAACAGGGCACAAACTGACCGGCTACTGAGATATTCAACGACCTGAGACCTAGCTCTGTTATCGCATCTTCTGACTGCTTTTTATAATCTTGTTGCAGTCGTGGAAAGTTGCTTCATAACTCGTTTCAATGTGATTTCTACTATTTTAATCATATTTACTGGCCCAGTATCTGAGTGTTAAATGTGCAATTTTAGCTTTGAATTACTAGGATCCCACTGCTACCTTAGGGGCCGTCCAACCAACCGTCCGTGTTACCAATAGTATTTTCAAAACGAAAAGTTTTTGTTTGGGGGTGGGTGGGTTTGAAGGAGTTTCGTTTTGAAAATAATTATTGAATGCAGATGGAGAATGCCCAGTTACTTCTGGGTGTCGAAAATTGACATCAGTATTTTATTGGAATTCGTTTTACCTGCAGAAAAGGTAGATGGGTGGGTGCTGAAAAATACTAAAACTTTCATTTTCCAAGAACTATTGGTAACCCCGGACGGCCCCTTATTGTGTTTAAAACAATGCATCTGGTGCACAAGCAATCTTCCAACATGTGTTCGTGTCCCCACAGTTAACAACTTCTATTGCCCGCCAATCTTAAGCTTTGCCAACGGTTTCATGACTTTCCCACGAGCACGGGCACTGGGTGCCACGGCAGCGGTCTCGTGTAACCCTGGTTACCATGCTCTGAAAGACACGGTGACGTGTGCTACCAAGTCAGCAGGCGTGGGAGAGTGGGGAAAGCCCATTTGCACAGGTAGGTTAGATCAGTGTGAAGCGTTTACTCTTGCTTGCAAGAATGGGGTTTATGCATAAAACATGGCCGCCACCTTCCCGAGGGGCAACTGGTCCCATATTTGGCAGGTACAGCCAGTTGTAGTACAATTTGTGGGTATGATCGCACACAGTTTATGACTCTTTGATGCAGGATTGGTATCACAGTGTGTACCATTTTAGTGGACTTGCCCCTCAAGATCAAATAGTGGGAGTATCTTGCATAAGCCCCATCACTATGCTCCCACTATGCAATTTTTAATTATTTTTTTGACTATGCTCACACTATTCCGCCGACTTTACTTGACACTTGACTGACTCACGACTGGCATCCAGAGCACACGAGAAGTCCATCGAACCTTCGACTCGGCAAACCTGCAAGAAAGCACCACTCCCTGCTCAATACACAGTGTTTCGGGGAATTCACCCCTCATCAGTTGAGCTTGAGTAGGCTGAGGAAGATTGTGCCTGAAGAGCACCACTTATATACTGCTCTCCCCGAAGTCGCAACCACTACTTCGTACTGTTATGCTCCCACTATGCAATTTTTTGGTCTTTGGCTGTGAGCTGTGATCATTGTAAAAATAAAAGTAATAAAAATAGTAAGCCCCGTTGTCACCTCGGCACTGTGAAATCATGGTCATTGGGAGAACCATGAGCCATAGTGTTTCAACGAGGATGTTTAGTGCAAGTTAGGCCATGGTAAAAAATAAAGTTGATTCTCAGGTCATGGGCCTCTGAAAATCGGTGCGAGCGAGCGATTTTTTATTTTAATTCCCACAATTTTTTTATTTCCAAAGATAGGGTCACACATATACATGTGTACGTCACAGGTTCATAATTAATTTATAATTATTTTATTATTCAGGCCAGGGAGTAGAAAAATACCGGTATTTTTCTACTCCCGGATTCATGCCTTTCGCATTGACCGTTTTCATGCACGCATATGCATGCATAGAAATAAAAAAAATCGTCGGTGCGCCACTGTATGGTCCCTGCCTAGACCATACAATGATCTAATCATGCAGTTTATACACACACGTAACTGGCTCACTCTGAACTGCTCTGAACTCGGAATGTAATTATCTTCAACCAGACTCAGCTGCAGCAAGAGAAGACTGCCTCCGAACATCCCAAAACCAACTTCACACGAGCATGCATCTCTAGTGCGCATGCTCGTGAGAAGTCATAATAATATGACTTGACTGAGGGACACAACAATTCCCCCACCACTAGAAAAAGACGAACATGGAAAACAGTAATAAGAGTGGTTCAAATACGTATGGATGGCTACTATGCGAGTGTCTGATCTGCAACCAATTATGTCATCATTCGCTATAGAATTATAACCGATACCCATGGCTGACATAGTAACTATTCATGTATTTATGACGGCTAATACCTATAATTATTTGAACTATTTACAGAAACAAGATTTGTATACACATTATAATACAGTTCATGACCACTGCAGTAACTGGAAACCACTACTTGGCTTGAGTGCGGTACCGTTCAGGTATGACAACCTGGCGGCCGGACCGGGTCGTACTAGTGTTCTGACCAGGTGTCGATGGTGTTGGCATTCTAGACTCAGACTCACTATCCGTAGGTATTGTCGTGGTTGTTGGTGTAGGGCTGACTGTTGATACGCCTGCTTGAGATCGATTTTGGTGAATTTCGTACCGCCTGACAATTTAGCGCGGATCTCAGCGATTGTAGGTAGCGGATAGCTTTCCAGCGGTGAATGTGCATTCAGAGTGCGCGAGTAATCCGCACAAATGCGAATCGAGCCATCCGGCTTTTTGACCGGAACAGTTGGCGTTGCCCATTGTGAATATTCAACTTTCTCGAGAATGCCATCGCGCTCGAGTTGATCAAGAGCCTCATCGTATTTCTCAGTAATTGCAAATGGGACTTTGCGAGGCTTGAGGAAAACCGGGTGTGCGTCGTCAACACGCAGGTTGACCTTCATTGTGTTTAGTTTGCCCATTGAGGTAGAATCAAACAGATCTGGAAATTGGGCCATAATTTCCTCACGCAGTTGAATTTGTGCCACGGTTTCATCAATTCTAGTTTTGACAGAGAAGATTTCATTCCATGGTAATTGAAACAGTTGTAGCATGTCCCTTCCCAAAAGGGATGGTCCCGAGACATCTACAACTCTGAGCTTAACGGGCGCTGTCGTACCATTCAAGGTGACATTCATTTCAAGCTCGCCCAGGCAGGTAATAGGCTTATCAGAGAAACCCCTCAACAGTACGGTGGATTTAGGTAAGGTAGACAGAACCCCACCCAGCTTCTCGAAATCCCGTTTATTTAGTATGGACACACCACTGCCAGTATCAACTTCCATGCGAATAGGGATGGGTACCTCATTGATTACAACATCCACAGCAAACGGGGGTACGCTGCCTGTAGTATCACGTACAGTATACATTGGAACGCTCTCACCTGCGTCTTCACAGTCAGAGTCGGAGGTAGAAAGATCCTCACCCATGACATGGTGACAGTCACGCTTGTCTCTCTGCAGTTTAGTACGACAAACCTTCTCCAGATGCCCCCGTTTGTGGCAGTACCGGCACTCGGCGTCCTTATGTCGACACTTGTTTGCCAGGTGCATATCCGACCCGCAGCGAAAACAACGCTTTCCGGACGCCATCGGCTGCTTGGTGGATCGACGTTCCTTCGTCATGTGTACGGGAATGTCCGTGGGAGACCCGATCGACGCAGAAGCAGCAGAGGGTGCAGTGAATTGTTTTGAGTAGGAAATGGCCAGTTCCTCCTTGCTAGCCAGGTCGATGACTTTCTCAAACGTGTCAATATCGGACTCCTTGGAGAGTAACAATTTCCGTCGTATCGTCGAGCTTGCCATGCCCGAAATAAACTGGTCCGTGAGGGCTCGGTCACGATGGGAGCCAAATTGACAATCGACAGCAGCACGCTTGAGTTTATTAGCAAAATCGACTGTAGTTTCACCCGGAGCTTGGGAGACTTGGCGAAACTGAAAAGCGGCGGTGGTTGGGGTAGTGTTCTTTTTGTAGTATTTCTCCAGTACAGCACAAAGCTCGTCATACTTCTTTGACGCGATCTCGTCAGGTAGGATCAGGGATTTCAAGGTTGAGTAGACCGTCTTAGAGAGCAGGGAAATTAGATGCGCTGTCATTCTCTTCTCCGCTGCTCTCTTTTCACCAGAAGAGGCATTGGACGCCACGACACCAATACTATTGGCACAGAAGAAAAATTCAACGCGTTCGCGATAGTCTTTGAAATCACCCCCGTCGAAAGGCTCGATGGTGGCGGCGTAGGGCAAGTAAGTATTCGTCGCCATTTGTATGGTCCCTGCCTAGACCATACAATGATCTAATCATGCAGTTTATACACACACGTAACTGGCTCACTCTGAACTGCTCTGAACTCGGAATGTAATTATCTTCAACCAGACTCAGCTGCAGCAAGAGAAGACTGCCTCCGAACATCCCAAAACCAACTTCACACGAGCATGCATCTCTAGTGCGCATGCTCGTGAGAAGTCATAATAATATGACTTGACTGAGGGACACAACAGCCACCAAAAATCGATGCGCGCGTACTTGAGAATCAAAGATATTTTTTACCATGGCCTTATGCATAGAGTGCACTGGAACTCGCCCAGCACAAATTCTGATAAGATATATTTTAAATTTTTTATTTTTACTATTTACACAGCCCTACTGGAAAACAGGTGGAGAACCAAAAGAAACGAGGAAAAGGACAAAACATAGGGGATGTAGGGACGACGTGCCGATGTGCTGGTATGCTTGTTTAGCGTAGAAATCGTCTCGAGCACGGTTTTTGTACTGCTCTGTATTGGAGTATAGCCTTGTGCCTAAATAGTAAATACGCTTTTTTGCTCCCCGTAGGGTTCGTCTTTTCAGAGTTGCACTCAGGTATGTAGTGAATTGTGAGGGCGGAAAGTAGCACGCAATGTTATAAAATTGCAAATGGGTGTTTGTGTACGTGTGTGTGTGTGTCCCGGTGTGTGTCTATGTCTGTGTGTATGTGTCTATGTGTGTATGCACACATGTTTTTGTGTGCGCGTTCGTGTGCATTTGTTTGTTCATGTCTGCAGTCTTGATCGGCTTTTGCCCTCTACTGACGGTGGAGAACGGCAAAGTTGTCTACGATGGACAGCGTGCCATACATAGCAAGGCGACACCTGTGTGTAACCATGGTTACGAGAAGGGCAGCTCTCTGCACACGACAACATGCCGCCAACTCAGCCATACAACCGGACGATGGTCAAACTCACTGCAATGCTTTAGTAAGTCGACTTCGCATGGAACACGATGTTCTGACTAGTTCTCATTGCTACACTGTTACATGGAGCAGCCTTGTTTTCCTGCTGTTTGCCATGTACTTTGTATTTTTGTATTTGCCTGATGATTGCGTGAGCATGAAACTTAAAGTAGCAGCAAACAAGCCTTGATTGTCCTTGTTGTTCTGTTGTGTATTTTTGTATTTATATCATTATCTCATGGCACATCATGATGACGGCCAGTAAAACTGAGACAAGGGTGAAAGCCAACCACAGCAGTAAAACAGGTAAAAGAATACAAATAAAAGGCAAAGAAGGCAAAGGAGGAGACAAACCAGCAGGATGTCATGCAAATACACGAAACCTATAATTGAGCAGAGATTTTAGCAACAAAATTATCCATCGACGTGCTAGTCTTGGCCTGCGTAGGTAATGTTGCCCAAAACACATAGCCAGCAAAGATCGGGGATCTAGTGAATAGGGTGGAGTCAGCGCGTGGGAGACTGAATGAGTTCCGGGTATTCCGTGTTTCGGAGAACCAAGTATAAGCCTGCATATGCAAGGGTATTTTATTTTTAATATTTTATGTATGAGACTGTGACACAGAGATGGTGCTTATGTCGAGTGGAAAGGGGACTGATCTTGGCAATTTCGTAAAGGCTAGCGGAGGGAAAGCGACGATCTTTGCTGAATAAGTTTTTTTAAAGGAGAATGCGGTTATGGGTTTCTAGCTTGTTCAATACAGTAGTAGTTATGCCAGACCATGCAGTATCACAGTAGTCAAGTAAGGGCAATATATAGCAATGATAAAACAAGCGTTTGCAAGAAAGAGGCTTACTTAAAGGGGATTTGTCAACCGGCAATCGTCAGACGATGGGTGACTGGCTTGAAACGTCAATAATTTTTCGACATCAATAATAAAAGGATTTTCATCCAGCGCATGCGCCAAGAGTGAATTGCAACTAAATAGAGCGGTTGTCAGTTGGCAACCCCTATTATTTACAATGCAGTTGCGTGATGTTTGCCATGTACTGTTTTGGATATCCGCCGGGAACTCAAGCGACCACTGCCGGGGCGCTGGCCTTGCAGCCATGAGCACTGCTGGTTCAGGGTTGGCAGTGTGTACGTGAACTGCAGTGTACACACATTATTATTATTATTATTAAAAGCATGTCTGCGTAGGTGGCGGGGGTGCCACTTTCGCTTATGCCATTCAGGATTGATGTCTGAAGAGTAATACGATCCAATGAAATGACAGAAGTGACGTCAACAAAAGCCGTTAGCAACAACACCAATATGACTAAAGGAAAACTTCATCCAAGGTATAAAATAAAATAGAATATGCATACAACATGTCTGGTCAGTCCTGTTAGGTGGGGCGGGCTCCACGCCATGCCTGTCACACACTTGAGAGGAATCAAACGCGTTTCTGCTGTAACACTGAGTTCCGCGGTTTTAACCGATCATCAGACAGCAACTTGACTACAATTTTCAGAAGATGTGATTGATATAGGCTGCAAGCTTGGGTCATAGCGCAAATGGATGATCCGGGCTTATAGTGTAATTATGAACATGATTGCGTGAGTTGGTCGATGGGGTGCAAAAGTAGGCGCAAAAAAGAACTACAGTCAACTTTGCTTATAACGACACCCGGCGGCGGGGCATCAAAAAAGTGTCCTTATTCGCGCGGAAGTGTCGTTACACCCGAAGTCTCATTATATGTATTACAGTTGGATGGAACTTTGCTCTGGGCATGGACATTCTGTCGTTATTCACGAATTGTCGTTATATCGGCAGTCGTTATTAGCGACGTTGACTGTACTAAAATTTTTACCTTTCCTTTTAGTACAACCTGGTCTACATTACAGTCGTTATTAGCTAACTACAGACTACAGTGAACTAACTGCAGTGTATGTAAGCGCTCAGGCAGTATAGCCCTATGGGTACCGACCCCAGTCGCTGCTTCACCCCGATTTCAATATCCACCACAGTATCCTACTCATGCGGGCCCAGTGCAATGAAACTGGTGTGGCAAAGTATCCGGAATTTTGCGACACGTACTTCAGCATTAGCGAAGCTGTGGACTCCATATGCTGCTAGTATGCTTCAAAGGGAACATGCTATTAATGATAGAAAGTCGACAACCAGACAATAATTTTAATACAGGCTCAAAACGAGTACAGTAAAACCTGTAACTAAAGACCACCGTGACTAGCGACCGGCCTGGTACTACCGACCACTTTGTCAGGCACGAACGGTCTCACATTCAAAATGCACTGTGACTAGCGACTACCTGCTGAACGCGACCAGCGACCGCCTTTTCTTGTCCCAATGTCGAATTTTGACCCGTAACTAGCGACCGCGATGTCGCAAATCAAACATTGCTTGAAGCTCCTTCTCGAAATTTTGATGATTTTCCATGGTCGTTTCGATACTACAGCTGGACAAATGAGCGCAGTCTCATTTTTACTGTGGAATCAGTGTGGATTGCACTACACCTGTCATAATTTCAAGTGCTGTCAAGAACAAACATGATAGGAAACGTCTTGGAGAACGCATCCAAAGCGCTCTTTGATCGATGTTACTACTCAAAGGAGAAACTAAGACTGAGCGGCTCTCTGTCGAAGTGCAATCACACAGCTCAGTCACCAGACTCACCACTACACCAGGTCACACTGACAGTCTGTGCTGACTAGCTAGCATGCTACCAGTACCAGGCAGGGAGTCCCGACTCCCTGCATGCTACGGTATTATGTACTCACCTGTACGGAACACAGGCCAGTGAAAGGTGCGAAAACTCGCAACATCGCCGCATCATGTACTGTTAGTCTGGTACACACCAGTACAGTTTACGCTGCACTACATCCAGTGAGTCGACATATCGCTTCCGGTGTATAAAAAACTTGATTTTCTCTCTCTCCAAGTGTTGTATGATCTGAAAGAAGAATGTCAGTGCGCAAGTGGTGGGGGATTGTATTATCTGCATTTTGACATACATATCATATAATGGGATCCATATATGGTCGCGCGGTGCAAACCTCTAACTAAAGACCACCTGCCACTAACGACCACTTTTCCGGGCACCAAGGGGTGGTCGTTAGTTACAGGTTTTACTGTACTTACAACCGGCTCAAAAACTCGCTTTCTAAAAATTTGGAAGACCTGCATTTTGGATATTCGTCTCCATACAATTTGCCATGGCATGCACAGCATGTCTGTCGTAATTCTGTAAAAAAAATGGCTAGATTTCTATTTCCCTATTGTGCAGCTGTTGCTGGTATTTTGTTTCTTTTGAATCTTCTGCTGCTCCTGCTGTTGCCACGGTTGTTCCATCTCCACCTGTTGCTGTTGCTGTTGCTGTTGCTGTTGCTGTTGGTGCTGATGTTACACTCCACAACTGCTGTTGTTATTTGCTCTATTTCCACATCGCAGAACGTCAACGCTACTGTGCCGCGGTCAATGTAGCCTCTGGCTCCATCTCCTACCTTAGTAGCCACCAGATCGGCTCCTTGGCAACACTGTCCTGTTTCCATGGTTACGTGCCAGTCGGCGATGTGTCAGTGATGATGTGCTTGGAAGGGAGCGCAGCGGCTGGACGATGGAGTGAATCATTAAGCTGCAGAGGTAACTACACAATTGCTTGAACATTAAAACGTCTATAAAAAAAAGTAAATTATCGTGTCCATCCCCGAAGG